ACCACTGTTGGTGCTCCTTCTCGGCTTCGATGCGGACGACCCTGCCTTCCTTCATGAAGAACTTGACAGGCTTCTGCATTTGCTGCTCGTATTGACCCTGTTCACGGAGGGTCTTAGCGAGACGCTGTTCTTCGGGCTTGAGATCGCCGAGAGTTTCATCGTGGAAGTTCCTGTTGATCTTGTCGTACTTTCCAAGAGTGAACTGGGTGAACTTGGCGAGGTATTCCCCCTCACGGACCTGCTCGAGGGCGAGAGTACCGTTGTATTCGAGGGCGGTCTTCTCGCCGGTGAGTTTCTCAACTCCGACGGTGACAGCACCACGAACTCCGTAGACGGAGGACTGGCCTTGTTGACCCGCGAAATGGAAAACTTCGGCGCTAGCGGCTGCAAACGAGCAAGAAACATTTGTTAATTCTCACTGCTGATTGCTCCGACGACACTCTCTCACGATATTCCGAAACTCGGAATCGAATGATCGAGCTCTTTCCAGGCTCGTGTGCTGTGGGATTGTAATCCTTGGAAAGCTCTTGCACACGTTTCCGTACCCGCAGCCAGGAGAACGATTGGGAGGAAGAACCTCATGATGAACGGCTAGAATCTCGTATCCAACCGAACGTGATGATTCCAGCAGCGCACAAGCGTTTTATAGTGCGGCGTATCTTGATTGCTGATCGTAGCACTTCTGTCTCTCTACTCTCTCGAAAAAACACGTGAATGTCTCGGAGCGCCTAGCGGTGTCCATACGCTTACCACGGTGGATTCTGATTACTATCTCTAGTACGCTGGTCAGGTAGATGGTATATCAAAGACGAGCTCGTCAACCGGGACATTCGAACAGGCTCCCCGGAGCCCGTGCGACGTTTGAATGCTCGGATTCCTGCTCCCCATCGCGGAGTCGATCGGTCCGGCGTAGTTTTTTTAGGAGACCCAGATTCCGGAAACTCTGAGAGCCGTGCTGGGAATCGTGCGCTTATTATTGGCGTGATTCATCATCATGAGCGTCCCGAACGATCACGTCGCTTGTGCACTCGAGGGGATGAGCTCTATCGGAGCGCACTCCACACATCAGGCGATTTCAGTCGGTACACGACCTCAGATCCTTGCCGTGATGTCTCACGCAGGCCGCTCCTGTACATGCCTCCCAAACAGATCGTCGTTCGTGCAGATTTCTCTTCGTCTGGTACGCTTTCCGGTCATTCGGGAAATTCTACCCGAAGTCACGGTGTCTGGACGACAGGGAGCTCTAGACAGGCCTATCTCAAGGCGAAGCCTCGAGCCAGGGGCAACAAACCAACCTGTGACGATGCTGAGATCGACCTCACAGAAAAGCGGTCCTGGCCAATCGCCGGGCAGGCTCGCAACCTATGGGTGTTTCAAGCAATCGTGGACTCGGGTCGATCAATCCGATGACGGTATTTCAATGCTCTGAACTCGGGTTACAGAAACAACTCCCGAAAATCGATACCTTCATAAATTCAAGTTGCTTGACGAGGAAAGCGGTCGGAAGTTTGAGGCATTTGTTATTCAGACGATATTCGTCCCGAACGGTGTTGGCTGCTCCACTGTTCTGACTTCCGGAGCGCATCCTGATATCGTCTCATTCGTAGAAGCAGCGTAGAGCGACCGATACCGATACCGTTCACGTCACTAAACTGATACAGCCCGCTACGTTAGCCCGATGAACTGTATATACCTATGCTAGGCTCTAAGCGGTTGGCTGCTTCTGTCGGTTTCCGTAGGCCAAAGCTCATAGGTGGCTGGAGATGCATCTCTGCTGCTCCCGGAAGAGCACGAACCCCAAGAATACATACATAGACGGAACTCTGATTCTCGCGACCAATGAGCGGAGTTTTCCACCTGAACGGTCAGAGAAACCCCTATAATCCCAAGGTACCCCATCGCTTCGAGTCAACGTCTTCATGTCCTACGCTGCTCCTGACTGCGCTCTCCATGGCCATCTTCAACACTCCACTCTGCCTCGAGCTGGATATGTGTCGTACGTAGGGAGGACGACCAGGTTCTCGTGTTTATCGGAGTGGGACTTCGAGAGTACCGGGAAGCTCGAGGTCGCCGATCTGAGGTCTGCTACAAGTCGGGTCCGTTTTGAGTCACGCAGGGGCGCGGGAACTCATAGAGACGAAGACAATGCAACATGTGCAAGTCCAGGAGTGAGTCACGGGATGGTAAAAAAGCGGTCAGCTTCTGGTTCCGATCGTTGAGGGTAAGCTCCGAAAAGCTGGGATCCGATGTAGACGATTCGGGCAGTTCACAAAGAGCATCATCGTGATGCTCATTCCGCCCTTGCCATTTTGGTTGCCTGAATCCGAGAATATCAATTTGCGGTCCTGTCCTTTACCCTTGTCGGATTGAAGGACCAATCTTCGACCGAATCCGAAGTCAGCTCCCTCATCCCCATTGAGCGAGGAAGGAGGATATCGAGATTCCCGAGCAGCCCGAGAATACACTTCCTACTCGACGGAGAATTCGGGAAAACCCCAAGAAAGGACACATCAACTTTAACGGAGTGTGGTTTATTCATTATATGATGAATGTTTGTCGCAACGGTTTGAGCTTAATAATATACATATTACTCAGGGACGAAGGGAAGGGGAGGTTTTAGGGAGGAAGGAGGTGCGCCCGGTGAACCGGGAGTGCGGGCTGTGGGAGCTATCACGTGCCTAAAGGGGTTTTTTGGTCTATGCTGTACGCTGTTCTCCTGGAGATTCCTCCTCGGAAGACAATATGCTACTAATCACCGGCTACATGTTTCTCTGTTATGACGACACCCTGTGGGCGATAAAAACGAAACCAAAGGGAATTACTTTTTTTCCTTCCTGTCTCTCTCTCTGTCCTACATGGAATCGCAGCTATGATATAACACAAAGCCCGGTCTTGGAAGACCCAGGGCATACCATGAATTGTTATTCGACTCGTTTTCCTTTTGATATATTTTTGTATGGAGGTTCGCTCGCTTGTTCTGCTCGCGCATTCTCTAACATCTACAGACTAGCTGGAACACTCGGCTGTCTTTTATGTACAGATCTTTTCGTCTCTCCCACTTGACTCGTCTCCTTGTATGCTCCATCGTCTGCTATTTTCTATGTATGTACCCTCATAGGGAAGTTAATCAAACAAGTCCGAAATACAATATATTAATCATTCTTTCATCTCTTTCTCTCGTTCCACTTACTCTCGCCTCCGTCTACCAACTTTCTTTCTCTCTCTCTCTCTCTTTCATTCATCCGAAGAACTATCCATCAGGATCTCTTCGGTTACAGAAGCGGAGGTTACAGTTCTACAATGATCTAAGAGATTTCACTCACTCCCCGCGTTCCGCGTTACGTGGCAGCGCCCGGAATCGCGCTAACCACTCTGTACAAAATTGTATAAAGCCATAATACAGGGTGAAGCTATATGTTACCGCTCTCTCCCGCCCTCTCTATCCGATACGTTTGAAGAGAGGGAGAGAGCAGAGGGTTTTTCTTTCTCTGTGAAGGTGTTGCTACCTATGATGTGTGGGGTTCTCCATGATAATTCCCATGAGTTCGCAACTCATTCGGAACTTCTCTTCCCGATGCCCATTCGTCAATTCCTCGTCGAAATGAACGTCAATCAGAACTCGATGGCGATAATGATAATGTCTACGGCCCGAACCGAGCACTCATCTACTAAACTCACGCATAACCGACGCGGTCACAGGTTTTTGAAACGCAGTGCTCCTGGCTTTTGTTATCGCCCTACGCAATGTTCATCGAGGCGAATGATTCTGAATCATTGAATATCAACAGCTTGGTTCGGTCTTCTATCACATTGGACGCATCTCTGTTAAACGTTCGTCGATTGGAATTTCGCTGGTAACGGTTACGGTGCACGGAGGACTTGGGGGAGGGGGCGATAGCGTTTAGGAGAGTCGTGGCGCTAAAACGTTGTAGGACGCCCTCACTGGTAAGAGCTAGCACGGTCTTAGAATGCGCTTCCTTGATAGATTGGTTGATTGCTGGTCAGCCGGTCGCCCAGTCTGGTTGAAAGTGATGGATTTGCGGATGGTTGGATGAATGCATGGATAGTCTGTAGAATTTTGCTCGATGTTGTTTCCGCTGCCGCCGTCTTATTGTTGGCGTTGTTGTTCGTTTTGCTGCGGCCGCTGCGTTTTACACTGGGATTGGAATGTCGTTTTTTGCTGTTTTCATTTTGATCGTGGCGGTATTCATGGCTGTACCTAAGTCAGTTCGCCGCTATCTAACGAGTCGGGTCGGTTGTTGTTGCTGTTCTTCATGCTTGCTTTCTTCTTAGAACGGATGGCATTTAAGAAAATTTTACTGCATTAACCGTTTGGAGTTAGGCCGAGTTTCATCCAAAAATGAGACGCGGCCCGCTTGTAAGCTGGACAATTTCCGGTGGTTATTGTTTTGTTGTTGTTGTTGTTTCAAGTAGCTGCTGTTTTGGTTGTTGTTGTTGTTGCTGCTGCTGTTGCTGCTATCACGTTGGATTACTTGCTTGGACGATTGAGTGATCATCTCTCTTCCATTGACATTGATCAGCATCATAACAATCATCATCAGGATCAATGACAATCAAGCCGAGTCGCTTTACTCGAGTTGCTCGAGAAAATTCGGAGACTTGAAGTATTCGGGCACATTGTCGTCCAGCCTGGCGATGATCTTGTAGATAGCCTTCTTCCAAGACTGTTCCTGGTCCTTTCCAGCGAGAATTGATTTGAAAAATTCCCTGAGGGTCTGCTCCACGACGAAGCGAAAATTTTCTGGAACCTGAAGAGGAGAAAATTATTGCCGAGGATGCTCCGGCCGGATGACGCGTCTATGGACTGCAGGATCGTATCAGGTAATCGTTCGAGTCGAATATTCGCTCCAAGATTATCCGGTCGGATTCTGAATACTAGATCAGTCTCGAATCCGGACCGTTGGGGAATTTTGAGGATCGAAGGTACTCACGTCGATGTGGTTGTTGCGATTATAATGAAGATTTAGAACTCTGAGTAGCTCCGAGTCATGGGACACTCGGATCTCATCGGCGTTTCGGATGCCTTCACTGATCGCCTGGCGAGCGTACTTCTCCATTTGAATGTAGTAAAATTCCCTGAAAATGACGGAATAGGATCCGTGAGAATTTAAGCCTCGGCAGCGGTCGAGTAGCAAGCAAAGAGCTGCGGAGGGAAGTTTCAAAGGTTGAACTCTTGGATCATTCTCATAGCTTAAGTCTCTGTGTGGAAGTGTGTGAGATACATTTTTGCAAGTCACGATTATGACCACCACCACCGAATGTACGATGGCGATGATGATGTCGACAACGATGACTGCAACCAGCGAGCGAACGAACCTACGAAGAATCATGCCGAGCGTTCTCCTGGCATCATCCTTGGTGAGAGTTGCTTCAGAGCAGAGTTCCCTTCTCAAGGAAGTGAACCGCTAGTTTTTAGTTGTGAGAAAGTTTTGCTTCGAGCCAAGATTAAGACACGCGCTCAGCAAGCAGTGCCCCGAGAGCTGGCGACCAGCAGTCTCGCTGGATTGGAGATGATCCACCGCAGCGACGAATACGCCGCCGTAATCTCATGATGGCCATAGAGCTCTCGCCGTAAACTAGTGTTAGGGAATCGAAAGCGAAGTCAGAAGAGAAATTCGTCCCCAAAAAGCCTCCAGTCGCCCGCCGCCTTCAAGACAGTCTGCCAGCTTCGATGCACCCTCTCCGTAGTGGGGTCAGCAACCTTGAAGACGAGGGGGGTTCTTGGGATCGCGTACTACTCGTACTGAGGGGAAGCTACCATGAATGAACGTAGTGGTCCAGTCGCATCGCTCTATGCTAGAATCGAGATGCAGCTTCCCGCTAACCGTTATAGAGATGAACAGAAGGCGGTCGCGAGCCTCCCTGATCTTCTAAGAGTCGATCAACAACATTTTGTCCATACTAGGGGAGGAAAATACAAAGTCGCGGCTCGGAATTTTAATTTTTCGCATCCCTGCTCCCCAGGGAATATAGAGATCAACATTCGGTCCCGTCGTCCCTTTTGCGTTGAAAAATCTCCACTCTCGTTGAAAGCGATCGAAGCAGGGAGATTCCCGTGAGAATCTCTGCCTTTGCTCATCGCAGAGGATAGAGATGATCTATCCATTCGGCTTAGGGTTTATCGATGATCAAGAAAGCACCGGCGTGAGTTCTAGGCTAGAGTTTTCCCAGAAAGCTCCAGATGATTCAGATCTCTCATGACCCCCGATCTGACGTAATCTGACGGCACCGAGAAACGCTCCTAGAACGCCCACAGTCAAGTGTTCTGTTCTCAAGTTCTCTGTCCGGATCCGTTCACGGGATTGAATGGGCTTATCTCTTTCGCTCGTCACCGAATAGGAGTTCAAGCTCTTAGAATCATCAAAATATCGATCTCTTCAATGGCAGTTGTGGAGTAATGCGACCTCATCGGCGAGCCCGAAGCACGGTGACAAGCAAGTCAGCATCCTTCGAGCTCCGGTCGTCGCGAGAGGCCCCGAAGCACTTCCTGAAGCCTGTCCCAAGCGTTTTCGCACTATTTCAGCCGGGAGTTCAGTGAAGGCATCGATTCTGTTTTGCATGCGCCCGTTCTCCGGCGCGCTGCCGAATCAAAACATGATTCCGACGATTGAGCGTCGGCGGAAAAAAGAGGAACTTCTGGGAGAAACACGCGAATCGCGAGTCCTTCCCGTACTTGCTTAGTGGTCGGTGGGTTGCGTGTTCGCCACCACAACGAAACGCATACTCAGGAGCGTCTCGACCTCGAACATAGAAAGTCGGCACCGGCTGTGCAAAGAGAGGCTTCGTTTGTCCGTAGGACTGACATTATGCGCTTTTGTGTCACGAGCTCTTTATCCCTGGCCGGGTGACGTCTCACCCGAAACCAGCCATGCGTTCGCGGAGCGTCAGACCATCCTGAACATGCTCCAACAACGGAACCAATATCGATCGCTTCGACTGAGGCAACGCCAGCACCGGAGTAGCCTTCAGGTGCAGCTGAATCATATCCATGTGTAGTCGTCGTCCCCATCTTCGCATCGAATTCACCCTTCAAAAGCAGCGGAAATACGGACGACCGCGCGGATCCGCACGGATCTGAGCAGATCTCCCTCCCTCGGCTTCCTATTGAATTTTTCTCGTGGATACGGCGACCCCGTGCTAGGGTTTTCCTGAGACGTCCCAAACGCTCGAGTCCCGAAAACGGGAACAGAATTAGCGTCGAAATCTTGAGATTAATTTGCCGAGCAACAATTAAATCTCAAGGAAAGCTTATAAAATTGGCGATATCTAACTCGGGGGAGTATAGGAGATCGACGGGATACAGGGAGTGTTAAGCAGAAAGCCGAATCCTAATCCATTTCGCCTTGCGGACCGTAGATCCCATCCGGAAAAAATTGAGGCGACGGAGCTATACGAAAGTATGTACGCGAAAAGCCGCACATCCGCGCCGTACGTTCGAACCAGTCAACGCGGCGACCGGAGATGGCGTCGGGTAGCGGAGAAAAAAATGCCCAGAGAACCCCTTCTTCATCGAATCGAAGAATATATAAAGTGCCGTCCGAGTGATTGTCGAAGAATTCCCCCAAGATCACGTCGATGAGCACCACCCACCAGCAGTAGCTCTCGGTGCTTGAGCACCATCCCCTCGAGCAGATTCTCTTATCCACTTAATATAACAATGAAAAATATAATGATAGCAGCTAATAAAGTACAGCGGAGCCGAGTCGGTCTTGTTTCTCTCGTTGCCTCTCTGACATCGTAGCCGCCGCCCGGTTGGTCTTCTGTCTCTTTGGGGACTTCAGCAGGAGTCGAGTCGGAGTTTTGGTGCAGCCTGTGGGTCGGTTGCTAAGCGACTGCACCAAACACGAAATCGACGTGACCAGCGACCTTATAGTTGGGCGTTCCTCGACCGACGAACTTAGGTTTACGCCTGACCTGAGCGAGGAGGTCCTCGTGGCGGCCATCTCAATGATAATAACATCTATGGAGACTCCCTATCTACCTAATGGGCCCTCGGGGACACGCTCCGTGACCGCCAGGACGCGGGACGGAGCTTCACTTCCTTCCCCTTCCAGCAACAGCAATAGCTTGCCGAGCGAGCACCATACTTGGAACAGTTCTCTGTCCGCTCCCCGTCCAGCCCCACCGAGGGTCTCTTCCGCGACCGTTCGACCAAGCGAGCGGGCGAGCGGGTGACGATACGCTCAGGGTCCCTCCAGCAGGACACCAAACCCACCACCACCACAACAAGAACCACTCTAGCAGAATTCGGAGAATGGACCCTCGGAGTCTTTCTCTGAGCCCGGCAGCTCGCGCGCTCGCTCGCTCGCCCACTTACATCATCAGCTTCGATAGGCGGCCAAGCGTTGACTCCTGGACGTGACCACAGAGACGCCTCAGGACAGCCGCCGACTGTTTTCAGATAGATAGCCAGCCAGATGGCATCCAGCCGCTAGCCGGCAGCCAGTCGAGCTAGCTTTCACTTTTAACTTCAGCAGCGGCAACAACGGTACCTCTTCATACTTTCTAACGGGTAGTAGCAGTAGTATTCGGCCAATTACTCGTGTGAGCCGGCAGGCCAGCAAGCCAACTGGCCAAGCTGACGACCTAACGACACACTTCAACGCCAGAAACATACGATCCAGCTCCTCGAGCATCACTCCTTCATCGCGCTCGTCGTCGTCGTCGTGATCCGCGCCACGTAAAAAAGGGAAATGTACGAATTCACTACGGGGAAGGACGAATGCACCAACGGGCTGTACGTTGCGGGCCTTAGCGGGGAGCAAAAGCGAACTAGGTGGGTGTTTTGTCCTCGCGGAGCGTCGCTCGCTTGAGAAAGCGCTAGTTCTAGTTGGCTCACGAGATAAGTTCGTTAGATTCGAAGCGAACGGGAAACGAATGCTCTCCCCGAAGAAATTCGAAGCGTCACATTTTTCTTGCCTTCGTATGAATGATCACCTCCGCCACAGTTTCAGCTGTCCCAGAAGTGGCCCGGTGGGGCTTCCGGCGTCTGTATTCCTGCTTGACTTGGCCGATACGCTCTGTGCATTTCAAAGACACAGGCATAGCTCACATGGACACGGGCTCAACGTACACGAAGTTGCTTGATCGCCTTATACGTATCCTACGTAATAAAAGATTTCTGTTCGAATTCGGACCGAATTTCGCCGCGGGAGAGCCGACCCGAATCCCGTATTTCGGAATCGGGTTCTCGAGCAGAAAGAAAAGGAAAAACCATCCCGCCGATGACGGGTCTTGAAATTTCCGGAAGGATAGCTCTTGGACGGTTTTTTTTGTGCTAAGGAGAAGCATCGAAATCTTTCGCACAGACGACCGAGCGGCAGCTGTACACTTCAGTCACAAGTTCGTCGGTTCCGAATCGGCTCAGCTGTTTGAGATCGCAAGCTACCTGGCCGGAGGAAGTGGCTCGCTGTTTTGCTTCGAACCTCTCGCTGCTGCCTCAGTCGGTGAAAAACCTCGCCGTGATGTTGCGGCCCAAGAAAGCATTGTTGCACTCAGGTCGCCCGTTCGTTCGTTCGCTCGCTCCCTCGTTCACTCACTCGGGTTCTGGTTCCGGTCGCAGCACCGGTCGATTCGAACACAACGGAGATCAGCTCGGGGAGAAATAAAGCAAGAAACAGAAGAGAGCAAAAGAGAGAGCGCAACGACGACTAGACACCAGCCCGCTGCTGTGGACGACGATGACACGATCCATCCGGATGAGAACCTCGTCGTCTGTCTAGCGATCGTCTGGAGCAGTAGCTCCTTCTCTCCGATGACCCCTTTAACAATTTCGTCTGTTTGTCTGATCCGTGTGTCTGAGCGAGTCCGACAACGACCTCATTGACGTCGTCTTTCGAAAACTTTGCTCCCAGCTGACCAGAGCCGAAAGAAACTCGGAGGGACCATCAGCGAAAGACGATCTGGTTGAACGCACGGATGAAATAGGGCAGACTAGGGCACGTCAGAGATGAAGAGATCGTCGTTGTTATACGTAGCAGAGCGAGAACGTTTTCGTTCCGAAAGCGAGAGCCGAAACATCCCGTTCGGCTATCTCTCGAGCAACGGACCGCTTCAACAGCTGCCTCCGACGGAGGAGCCGAACCCGGCATCGTCCACGGCACACGCCAAATCATGAAGACGCCACAAGGCATCGTGATTAGCTGGATTTAGCAGCTCCCGATGGTGGTGTTTGCTCTTCAGATCGTGCCGATTGGCTGAAGTTGCCCGAATCGATGGCATTTAGGCTCTGCAGCAGCAGCAGCAAGAACAGCGGTAATAACCACCATAGGTTCAGCGAAAGTTACATAGCGCGCTCGTGATGAGGAAGGCGGCCGAACTGACCGCTGCTATTTCGTGGTTTTAGCCTCTACGTATCTTGAGCGTCCTAATTGTCCCGCAAAGAAAACCACGAGAGTTTCTGTCGAGAGTGAAAACTCCATCGGCCGCCGATAGGGAGAAGATCCCCATACATGTCGAAAAATCGACGTGCTCCGAGACGAAACGTCGTGGAGACTCCTCTTGGCCCTCGTCGACCCAGACGAGCTGGGCCGATACATGGACCGATGTCGAAAATCAGCTATCGTCTATCTGTCTTCTCGAACGACCCACTTCCTCTCTTTCTGTGCTGCTGCTGCTGCTGCTGCCTACGACTACTGCTACTCCTCCTGAGGCCTGACCTCAAAAAGCGACCGGTGCGCAGACCGGGCTCATTCACAGGATCGGCTGGTGCTCATTCACGAGATCGCCCGGTGCAGAAATTTCTCTCTTTGACCACTGGCAGGATGCGGGAGAGCAGGCCAGAGAGAACTTCCTTCCCCGGAGCAACTTCCGAACCAGATTTGAAGAAATCCCAAATGCACGCATGCCATAAAAGGAAGGCGACGACCGCCGTGCTCCCACCGACGGCTCTCGAGTAAACGGCTCCGCTTACCACCTAGCTTCTTGCTCCTTTTTCACAGCGGCACCACCATCTCCATTTGTTCGATTCGCTCGTTCGCATCTCGCCGCGGCGAGAGCAGCAGCAGCAGCAGCCAAAGTGCGGAATGGCGCTATCCTAATTTATGCAAATACGCTGTATTCGTGTTTAAGAAAGCTCGCCGGGAATTATCCCCTTCAGAATTCCCCCCTCCGATACCCATCGACCCCCTCCCCGGCTCGCCTTCGATATTTTCAACCCCTTTTATTTCCCTTGGCTGTCCGCCTTCGTCCCGCGCTGGATAGCTGCCGCCGTGGTCGTCACCGCCGGTGCCGCCGCCGCCGCTCGCTGCTCGGGCAAGGGGGCCGATAATCCTTCTCTTATTGTTTTATGCTCTTCGATCATATCAAATGCGCGGCGCATGTTTGTGCATGTCCATTGAGTTCCTGAAGTTGGCGAGCGCCGAACTTTGAACAAGTGGGCACGCCGCCGTCATCGCCGTGCGCCGGCCATGCGGCGCGCGGAGCGACGGACAGCCGTCGTTTTCGGACTCGCGGCAGCAGTGAGAGATTCCAACTCTTTTCCACACGTTCCGGCAACTTCTCTGGGCCCTGCTGGACGACGTGTTGGACTCACAAAGTGACCGAAAGCGATTCCAGCGGCGAGGAATCACAAACAGCTAAGGTTTAGAAATGGATTAGCTCGAGCTATCATCGAAGGATGACGGCATCTTTTCTGACGTGATCCTCCCAGGCGGAATCGTCAAAGCCAAAGATCCAAAGAACTCTCAAGTCGAATTCGATCACAGAGATTTCCCCCAGCTGGCGAGAATCGAATCTGGAACACGGCGGCCTGCTGTCTCCACCACCAAACCGGAATCCGTCGACGCGGACCAGCCTGTCTGGAAAATCTTCCTCGGACTGTGAACTGCGAATGAGTCCGGCGGGGGATTCTCCACGGAATCGAGACAGATTATAATAATGAAAGGAAGTGTGGGAAGTAATTCAGGAATGTGGGTGACACCCGCCGACACTATCGGAGACGATGGCGTCGACGAGACGGAAAACTTCTCGCACAGGTGGTACCAAGCAACGCCGTGGTCATTACACCTACTTTCGTCGTAGGCGTTCGCGGCTACTACCTAAGGGTAGGCGGTTGGATGACTGGATGAGAAACTCACCTAAAGTTGGAGAACCACTTGACTAGCTGGGCAGTGTTGTTCTTGTTGAAGTTGATGTCGGGGAAGTACATCTTAAGAATTGCGGAACTGGGGTATCTCACGTAGAAGAACATAAGCTTCGCCTTCCGAAGATGCATTGGCGTCAACGTCGATGTGTACCCCGTGCCCCCTAGACTACCGTTCTTGCTATACGAAGAGGTTTCGGATGCTGCGATTGAGAGAGAGGGGGAGAAAATTAGCGTCTGAGCCCCTCGAATCGAAGAGATCCGGAACCGTTCCTCTGCGGGCTTGGGCTCCGATTTCTGCAGTAGCTTATGAATTTTTTTCGTCATCGAGTCTACTCAAACGTACTCAGCTGCTCCAACTCCGGATACGAACCTGGGGTAGCGCTGCCCTCGTGACTGGCCGCTCCAGGCGTTCCAGTGCGGGGACAGAAGGGACTATTGGTGCCGAGGGCCCCCAACGCTCCCGCGCCGCCGGCTCCGTTAATATATCTGAAAGTAGAACAGCCATTTACATTGTGTTGTGGCATGTTATTTGCGCCGTGGTGGCTGTCTCATTCTGGGACGTCTTTCTCCGTGTGTGACCAGCTGCCCCGTGTTTCTCCGAGCGAAATCGAATGCGGTGGTCAATCGGACTCGTCGGCCGAGTCGTCTTTGCCGAGGAATACCGAAGCGGCCAGCCCTTTCGTTGCGTGGTTCGACGGCGATCCGTCTGGCAAGCGGCGCGCTGCCTCTAAATCGACGGCTTTCGTTCGGACTGAACGAGAGTTCAGAATGGCTGGGTTTGCTCGCTTGCTTGCTTGCTCGCTCGCTTGCTTCTCTCACCGGGATGGCTTGCTGAATGCTCGGAGGATGTCCGGATGCAAAAATGTGTCTTCAATCTAGCGATGAGGACGAGCGGGAGCTCTCCAGAGAACACCTGGTATTGAGACCAAACTCACGGTGCTATGTGAAAAGTCTCCTCCGGAGAAAGAGGACTGCTTTTTCGAGCCTCAGGATATGACATGATTCAATAAATAAACGGATTCTATCTCCGATTGCACCGGTGACCCACAAGTCACGGTCTGGAGATCTACTAGGCTAGCGTGTGTGGCTGAGGAGCATGGGCCGGCGTCGAAAAGTCGAAGAAATCCACTCCGCTCAAGGGAATACGGAATAATTTGGTACTTCTTGAGATTGCATCGCTACGAGATTCCTGTCCTTCGAGCTCGGGCGCGAGACCCACGAACCCGAGGCGCAGCAAGGAAAGACAAGAACACCGTCCTGAGCAACAAGGCCCGTGAAGGAGCCATTGAAACTGGTACATACTAGGCTGTACTAAAATCCAACTAGCCCAGACGGACTCAAAAGGAGGCGGACGGGCGGGTGGGTGGGTGAGCCAGCGAGCGAGCGAGCGAGCGCGTACGAGCGAGCAGTCAAGCAGTCAGGCGGCCGACTGTTCGAATGACTTAGGACAGGAGAAGAAGATGTGGTTTGAGAGTGCGCATCTTTTGAACTATCTAACCCTCCGATGACTCAGGATAACATCTGCTGTCACCGGGCGCGGCCGAGCATTTTGTCGTCGTCGTCATCATCGCAGTGGCGATGCCAGTGGTGGTGGTCGCCGCCGCTGTCGTCGTTTCCGACAAGCCCACAAGAACAAACAAAGATTTGCTCGGGCTATCGAAGCAATAGACACACTCATTGTCAAATAGACATATACACAGATAGATTGCTCGACGGAGGACGGAGGAACTAGCTCGTTGGATTGCCGGCCCAACATCGTCCGATAGAGAGACAGACTGGCGAATGAATATAGAGGCATCGACAACTTGACACTCTGATGCGGACTAGCATTGACAACAACTTGAGCACCGCACGCTCGGATCATCGACACCCTCGATTGGCTTCGACCGACCCGACCCTCTGTTGTTGTTGGGGTAATTGATCAGTTATACGGTGATCTTAATTCTGCGGAGTACCCTGACACGGTGATACACCAATGAAATCAAGGGGACTGTGTTCTGATATCGAGGGAGAACGTGTACGGAAAACTCCTAGCGTGCCGGAAATGTAACGAGAGGATTGGAAGAAAATCATGATTGTGCCAAGAATGATGACGATGATGATCATCTTCGTGTGAAATCAGAATCATGAGGAGCGACCGTAAGAAAAAAAAATCAGGAACAACGCTTTTCACCCTCCACAATATCGTGACAGCCTCGATTGATTCAAGGAAAATTATTCGAACCAATTCGGTCATCAATTATTTGGCTCGATGGAAATTATTTGAATAACGACTAGGACTCATACTTTAGCTCGACTGGCAGCATGCGAACTTTGTGGTGGACCGATGGGAGTAACGGATCGGTAGAGAGGGAAATTACTCACTTGAATATGTTCATCATGTCGTAAGGCAGAGGTATCGGTGCGCCTCCGTTTGGTTCCGTTCCACTCTCCGAAAGAGATTCGCGCTCTGAGATCGTGTTGTCCTGAAGCGATTTGTTCAGACCAGCTCGCTGCAGGTAGATCCCGAAAGTATCCGCCGATAGGTTTGAAGAGGGGGGAGCAGCGGCGGGGGTCGTCGATGCCCGATTGCTGCTTGGATCAGATACGGGGGATTCCGATGATCGCTGCTGCTGCTGCTGCTGCTGGTGGGCAGCCTGTTGCTGCTGTGACGATGCCTGTTGTTGGCCCGATTGGAACGGGGCCGACAGCCTCTGCTGATGATCGAAATGAGGGAGGTGGAACAGGTCGTGGTGGAGCGACGGGTTCGGGATCGCGACGCTGGTCGGCAGAGACACCGGAATTAGCGGAGGTGGATACGACGGTACCAAAGCGGTACCGCTTGAGGGCGACTCGCCGAACTTGGGTGAATCGGAGCGGCGGGGCGCGAGCCTGGTGTCCGTGACCTTGTGCCTCTTCTTCTTTCCGGGAGTGACGACGAGGGACATGGCCTCGGTCTGCTCGGGACCGGGCACCACCGTTGAGGGCGGCGGGGGAGACGAGTCCCCTCCGCCGTAGCCTGCAGTCGGGGACTCGCTGCGTTTGAGCGGCAAAGCTGGAGATGCGTTCGGAGTTGAGGTTTTCATGCGTTCGCCGGCGAACATGGGTTTCGACGAAGCGGAAATGTTCTGCAGTTCATTGCGAGGAGTCCTACCGCCTCTGTCGATCACCTTGCTTTTCGCTTTACGGTCGAGCATTTGGGCGAAGAGTTCTCTTTGGTGGTTGGCCAAAGGTCCCCCGAATGCCATCAACGATTCGTGTCGTGCGAGGTCGAAGGACGGAGGGTGGGAAGGTCGCAAAGGAACTGCGGGAGCAAGCGGAGGAGATGCGCCTCGTTCACTTCGGAGAGCTTGGGATCCGATCTGATGATGACTACCAGTACTAGCGAGATGGGCTCTTGCGTCGCCGACGACACCGCTATGATGATTATGATGATGGCTGCTGCTGAGATGATCTGCTTGGAAACGCGGTACGAACCGAGACACAATGTTATCGATGACCTGTGTCAAGGTGTGCGTAATCTCGCTCTTAAGCATCGTAACTAGCCGTTCCAGATCGGCGTGACTGTGGAAACCGTCGGAATGCTCGCCGCCGGCTATCACCGGTTTCATGTCTCCGAGCCGTCCCCTCTCGGTCAGTCTGTCGTAGTGTTCGCGGATTCGCGCCCGGAGGGCCTCTCGATCCTCGGATCGCTTCACGGGCACTTCGACGTCCAGCTCGTCTTCATCGTCGTTGATAACCAGCGAGTCGCCGTTTTCCACTGTCTGTCTGGACGGCTGATAGAGTTTTCGTTTCTTGCAACCGTTCACCGCCGGTTGGCTGAGACCGGGACTCAGCGGTCCCGAGGATTTCAGGTTGGCGAGGTCTTCGTCTTTCTTGCTCGGCGCCACGTCCTCGAGTTTCCAGTCTTCGATCTCCTCGCTCTGACTCGACATCGGGCTCTGCATGGGGGACGGCGCCTTGTCGTCGGTGCCGCTGTCTTCGGTCTGTTCGCCAGCGTTGTTGTTGTTGCTGTGGCTGTTGTTGTTGTTGTGGTGTTGTTGTTTCTCCTTCTGCAGGATATCGCGCAACAGGGTGGCACTGTCCTTACCGGAGGCTCCCTGGTCCTGGAGCATGACCATTTTCTCCTCGAGACTCAGCTCGTCGGAGGATTCGTTGCCGTTGTCCTTCGTCTGGATCGACTCGTCCGTCGTCGAGCTCGGTCGCGCTTCAAGAGAAGATGCACGAGGCAACTGGATTGCTTGCGCACTCAAGCACTCTGCCATTGCTGATCATCCAGCGAAACAGTTGTAAACAATGATGACGATGATGGGAGCACCACTATATCCATCTCATGTGTAACCCCTTAAATCACAGAACACTTTGTCGCCGCCGCCTCGTGGACAATCTTTGTTGTTCTTCAACAGTTCTTCGACGAACGCACAACTTGTAAGGGCAGCAGCGTCGTGCGGGGATGAAGGAAAATCAATCTGGTTTTCAAGCACCGCCGCCGTCTTCGGAAGTTCGTCTGTTCGTTGCACACTTGAGATTCTTCAGACCGGTCGACGACAATGAAGTTTTCCGGCTCCTCTCTGCAACGTAAGCGATGGATCGTTTGAAGTAAATCTCTCGATTGACGATTCGCACGATTGAGATTCGTTCGTTCCGAGGACGACCGCGCAAAACCGAGTGCTGATTTTTTTCGAATGACTGAGCTCGTCGTGCGGCACGACGAGAAACCGGGAAGAAGAGTCTAGGGAACAGCACGGATAAATCGATCGCCTCTAGATGACAATTCTGTCCAGAGAGCGCTCCTCGATTCAGCCGGCGATGCGCTGCTCCGTGTGAACTCGGTTGTGAGTGTTCGACTTAATCCACTATTGGTGCGTGAGTGTGTGGAGAGGCAAGATTTCTTCTCCTCGTAAACTTACCTTGCCCGTTGGAATGCTGACTACTTCTCTCCAAACACGGATCAGCGCACGGAACAACAGACCGACCGACAGATCAACCGTCAAAGAGTCTGACTGACTGTCGGATCGACTGACTGATGGAACAAGCGGCCGACCAACCAGGGGTCGACTGCGCGAGAGTTCGAAGGGGGGAAAGATTTTCTTACGTGGGTGCCGTCCAGTCGGAGCGTGTAGGATGTCACACGAAAACAAACGAACGGCCGAGAAACGATCGAGCACTGAACCAAAGTCGAGACTAAATGTTCGACACTTCGCGAAGTTCTTCTCCCCTCACGATGACCCGAGGATCGGTGATCAGAACACTAACTAGAGGGCCACTACATCGACGGGGCTTCGTGTTGATAGAATGACTTTCGCACTCACTCACTCACTCACTAATGATTGATTGATTGATTGATTGATTGGTAGGTAGGTTGATTGATTGACTGATCCCCCGACTTTCGGAAGGATCGAACCAATGTCAGCCTATCGAAGAACGAACGGACAACCGACCGACCGACCAGCCAGCCGATTCGAGAAGACGACCACCACTCGCACTGCTGCCGGAGTTCTTTAGGTTTCTTGTCGTCGTCGTCTTTACTTGGCGAGCGCAAGGAGCGAAGTGAGCGCCTTCAGAGATAGACGACGCTCAACTACTTATCCGTTGTTGTCATCGTCGTCGTCGTGGTGGTGGTGGTGGTTCGAGGAGGAAGGAACGAGTCCCTTAGACGTTGGCCGACTCTCGGCCGCTTCGTAGCGGCTCTTAGTGGTTCTTTGTGTGCCCTGATACCCGATTGGCTGAGAGAAACGCCGTGGGCGGCGTCAACGAGAGAAGGACTCGCCGCTGCCGCCGCCGCCGCTGCTGAGAGGAGAGTCGAGCTATCCAAGCCGGCCGGCCGGCCGCCCGACCGACCGACGGGCCGAGCAGGCGAACGAACGAACGAGCTTACCAGCCTCGACGACGATGACTGCTAGACGGACGAGGAAGGAAGAGGGCTACCCTGCAAGCAACTATCGAATCTTCAGTTGCAGCTCGATCCTTGAGCTCACCGGACGGCCGCGCGAGCGAGCGAGCAGGCGAACGACCGCCCGCCCGCCCGCCTGTCCGTCCGTCCAGCCACTCGGCCTGTAGGCTGCCGACCGTTCGGTCCAGCTAGGCAGGTAGTCAGGTTTTCGCTCAGCCCGAGTGCCAACAGTGCGGAGCGATACATCCGGGCCTTCTGACAAACACCATGCTCGGATAGACCGGAGCGGCTAGTTCGATTTCTGGCGACGCTCATTAATCTCTTCTCGTGGCTGAGAACTTGATACCTCGGACGTATCGTCCGAGAACACTCGCATGAGTTCTCCCATGGAAGGGGGGAAGCCATTCGTGGCACTCGCGCCCTCCGATTTACGGAAACTTTATTTTCTCGTTTGACGGTCCTTCAAGCTCCTGAAGCTTGAAATTATCTCTGAAGCTCCGCAGGGGCTCCACGTTCCCTGGAGCTACCGAATCAGCCGACAGGTCAAATGGATATCTTCCAGGGACCGTCCGTTCTGTCCGAAGTTCGGAAAAGCGTACGGCGCGCGGACCCGTCAAGAGAAGCTGACCGCTCGAATGACGGAGTGAATCAACTTCGGGATGATGATACCATAGAATTTGTTTACCGCGAGTTTTGTTCTGTCGGTGAAAAGCTTTCTGTCTTGGAGTCGTCGGCGGCGGCGGCGACGACTACGGCGAATGTTTGTTTATCTCTCAAACACTCGGCTCTCGGTCGTCGAATATTCTCCTCTTAGTAGGGAAAATGTGCTGCTATTCTCGTTGGCTGGCTGCCTGGCTCTCGCTGAATGCTCGCTCCTAACGAGATCATCGGCGTGAAAATATCCGCGGATCTTATCGTCGCAATGAGTAGACGAGCAATAATTCGAACATTTCAAAGCTATAAATATCATGGATGAATCAATGCACGCATACACCTTCCGACACATTGGTCTCCACGGACGAATGTGCTGCTTTGCGGGAATGATTCGATGCATTCGTGCATCGCCCAAGGCGCCAGCCACACCTAAAGGAGTTCGAATGGCTGCAGTCTTGCTCGCTCGTTCTCCGATTCTCCTCGTCGTCGCGGCGGCCGTCGCCATGAGGGTCGATCGCTGCTAAAGAGAGGAATATGGAAATGACCATAGGACGACAAACCACCTCCTGTGTGCTTACACAACATCAAGAGGCCCGGCGACGATGAGATACGGCTTGCCAGCCAGACCCACCGCTGCTGGCTCGAATCCAGTCCGCGAGCAATATTGCCGATCCGAAGTCACCACTTCTCTCGCGGCTGCTGCCGCCGCCGCCGCCGCCACCACCACCACCCGGAAGGCTGAGTGAGCCTCCGGTTGCACTCACTCACTCAATAAAAAGCCAACAATGAGTCGAGACGATAAAAGGCACGACGAATCCTTTTTCAATGCGCGATTAGGATGTCGAAACTTCATATTCGAAAAAGCTATCACCACAGTCGTCGGAAGTGATTGCTTCGCCCAATTGAGCGAGGCTGCTGCTGACCGAGAACACTTTGCAGATCGGTCTGCGTGAAATCCCCGTCCATGATTTTGCGTCGACCCGATGAATCCATTTCGTGTTCGCGGGCGATTGAGCGCTTGAGATGCTGTACGTCAAGTTTTCGATCGAACCCCTGAGCAGCAAGACGGAATTCGAACATATACCAAACCTCGAACAAAATCTCATGAACATTTTCAGTGAGCATTCCGTTCCGTGGGAATCCTCCGAGCGTCATGGGATTGCAACAGCAGCAGCAGCAGATCACCCAAGTAATATCCGATTGTAGTCTTAATCGCAGGGACAGTTTCCTGGATGGTGCGGCCTCTACTTTGCCTATGAGAGATGGAAATTGACCTCGCTTTCGATATTAGGGAGTGAGAAAGTGGAAGGGAGTGAAAGTCCGGCATTTCTTCACTCCGATAGGGTCGGTGAGTTCATACGATCCTCGCTTGCTCCTACCGCTGTACTGGCAATGTACCATGTATGCAGTTTGTGGTCGTCGGCGAGGTAGCGATGTTCGTCGCCATCCGGACCAAGCCGAGTGTATTCCATTGCATCGGAATGCAATCTCTCATCTCGGCTCAGTTCAATGGCAGGCCATACGATACAAAGTCAAACTGAGCAATGACGGAGGCGGCCAGCGAGCGGACGCTCACTGGTGGGCAAGTCTTTGTTGAAAGCCACAAAGAAATTTTAAAATGTCCAAATGGTTCCTATTCGGTAGCGTCGTCCATCTAATGGACTGGCGGTTTCGCTTACCGCTGGTCGTCGAGGTTTCGTTTTGAGTTTGTGCTCCACTCGCCCAGCTCCAAAAGCTTGGCATACCTTCGATGTCTACGGCGGCGAGTACGAAATATTTAAACCATGACAAGTCCTCTTCCTCGTCGTTCCTCGCGAATAGGTTCCCCGGTCAAGTTACTCCGAAAGTTGAGACAGAGCGATTTCCGGAAGAATTGAGGAGCTTTCCATTCTCTACTCCGCTAATCCCGAAAAATCGAGCAAGGATGACTTTTCCACCAAATGCACGCGAGGTACCGTTCTCCATATACTTCTGAAGAGGAATCAACGACCGAGATCATCGCTTCCGCTCTTCGCGATTCGCGAGGCTAAGGTTCCGACAACGATGTGCCGCATGGCTCAGCCAGCAACGCGACCAAACGATGCCGGGAATCGTCTTCTCGACAAGAAACTTCACGAACACTCAGCGGACATCGAGAATATCGGCTTCGCGTATTCACGTCAAAAAGTTAATGCTCTTATATGACTGTACATCGCATGACGGTGAAGCTACCACTTGTCGGGGAAGAAGGATCCGTCAGACACATTTTGTTCAATATGGACTGCGGAGGCTTCATATGGTTCAGCATGCTTATTAACTTTGTTTGAGATTCTTTTCGGAGAACTCGCGAACGAGCTTATCAGAGCTCGTCATATTATACGCTATGAGGAACGGCATCACAAGTTCCATCTCGCGCGATTTCATTCTACGAATTTCTCCACTTGGACCTGGAAGTTCAGACTCAAGGTTTTGTTGAGCCTCGATTGAGGTCAGCTAGAAATCCGGCAACTTACACTATTTTATCTCGAATCTCCTGCTCCACATTTTTAGAAAGAGAGTTGAATCAGACGACGGATGAGTGACACGATCGCGGACGGAGCATAGTAGACGAGCGCACTTCAGGATCGCGAATTCCCCGTCCTCAATCAGCCACTTGGCGTTCTCGGAACGTGTGCAGGATTCGAAGTCAGTGAAAAAGTCGCTGAGATCGGCTCCATTTTTCCGGGCTTAAATCTAACG